CCAGCCCCGCAAGGAGAAGGGCTGAGGTGGCATCGATGGGTTTTGCTGCCCTGCCTTCACCTGCCCGGCCTCTGAGCACCACTGAGTAACTGCTCCCCTGAACGCGCTGTGGGCTCCTGGGGGGTATTGCACATGTACCCATGCAGTTGGAGCATGGCAGCATCTCTCCCATTGGAAGGGGTTTGGCTCCATGGGACAACAGCAACACACGGGGGCGATTCCTGCAGCATCCCTGGCTGGGGCAGTTGTCACCTCACCATAGCTCCTTCTCGACCCACAGGGAGAAGCTGTGATTCAACTGCACGGTGCGACCGCTTCTGCAGGGCCCCATCTCCTGCCACTTCTGCAGGACCCGTGTTTCCTGCTGCTTCTCCTGTGGGAGCTGTGTGTCCCTGCAGCCCTCCTGCAACCCCTCTCCCCTCTTGCTGTGATCTGGTTTGTGTGCAGGACGTGCATCAGATGTCCCATGGCTGCTGCAGCCTCCCCTGAGCCACCGCTGGTCCCTGCAGAGAGCATCTGGGCACCGGCTGCAGTTCAGGTCCCCTGCACCAGGCAGGCAGCGGCTGCTGCACCCAGCTTAGATGGAAGATGCACCACACCAGGGAAGTTCTCCCCTTCAGGCTGATCCAACACTGGAACAGGGACCAAGGGAAGGACCTCGGGGAATCTCAGCCCTTGCCTGGACCCAAACCTGAGCAACCTGATGTAATTCCAAGTTCTCCCTGCTTGGAGCTGGAGGTTGGACCAGGGATCTCCTGGGGTCCTTCCAACCTGAATTACTCCGTGGCTGTGTGCTCCGGGACGGATGGCAAGTCACCACCAGGAATCTTGGCTCTCCCTCCGGGATCTTAGGGCTTTTTTTACGTCAGAGCCATGCTATTTCATGCTCTATTATCAGGTTAGTCAAAACACTTCTCTAAACTATATGTCTCTATAATTGCCAGCTACACTCAAACTTCCTTGGCTCCTGCTGTTTTCCATTGCATTGCATTTGCAGTCATGCAAAATATCTCCTTTCACCTTAATCTGCATGAGTCCCCCTTCCCTGCAGGCTCAGGAGGGACGGGGAAGCCAACACCTCTTGGTTGTGGTCACTGGAGCCTTGTTCCCCGCCGGGCAAGAGGGAAGAGCCGGTGTTGGTGACATGCACAGCTCAATTTGAGGGGTCAATACACCATTAGGGCAATTATGAGGGAAATTAAGCCACATCAAAGAAGGTTTTGTTGGGTTTGGTGCTGCCCTCAAAGTGCTGTATGAAACCCTCAGCCCTGGAGGTGGTTTGGATGCTTGGCTGCTCGATGAAGCACCTCCCAATGAATTGGGATGGATGTTCCTGTATCACCTTCCCCCAGCCGAAAAGGGGGATTTCTCCCCAAAGGGATGGTATTTCCCTTACAGTGGCTCTTGCAGCAACCCAGAGCCCCTCACGCTGTGCCTGCATCCTCTCCCCTCTGCACATCCCTTTCTTTTCCAGCAAGGAGCAATGGAGAAACCAGAGGATCGCGGTGCTACTCGGCTCTCAGGCTGTTCTCGTGCCACCACGGACCTGTCTCCTCTCCAGACTAAACACTCCTGATATTTCCTGTCTCTTCTCACATAGAAATGTGTCTGTAATGGCTCTTTTCTCCTGTTCCTGCACCTCTTTGGATGCCGGAGCAGCTCAGGATGTACCTAATCTGGCGGCTTTAACCTGAGCTGCTGGGGAAATGAGATTGCCTTTCGCTGCCTCCAGCTATGTCAAAGCTTTGACACCCCCAAAATGGGAAACAAGAGCAATACCTCTATAGAAAAAAACTTTTCCAGCAAGTCAGGACAATCTGGACACTGGAAAAAGCCTCTGGTGATGAGAAAAACAGGTAAATCCTTGGAGACAGGGCTGGAGCTGGAGGAGGGATGGGACGTGGAGGAAACGTGACTGGCACAGCACAACCGTGGCCCCAGGGGCTCTTTCCTCCTTCCTCTCTGCCCTCTATGTGTTACGTGACCATCCCCAAACAGGGGGGTTCCAAAGGGGAGGTTGGACACAACGATGATATAAGGGTGCTGGTGGAGCATCCCATGGTCCTCCTGCCCTGTGGGATGCGGGAGCGCTGCTCGCGCTGCCCTCTGCGGTGCACTGGGGTGCTTTCTTGCTCTCCTGTTGCTTGCAGGCAGCTTCTGGTGGAGATCCCTCTTTGTACAGGCTGGATAAACCCAAAGGAAACTACTTATGAGTCCTTCTCACCAGCATTGCCAAAGGACCATGATTCAGTGCTTTTCTTTTTGGGTCAAAATGAATTAGTTCAGGCCCATCAGGATTCTCTAACTCGAGGAGCACAACAATAAGCCAGTGTTTAAAGGTTCTTCATGGCCATTTAGCACCATCTGGGGCGTCTGATCAGGGGCTTTGAAAACAGTTGGAAATGAAGTAAGAAGGATTGCTTGGCCTGGACACCCCTTTCTGCCTCCCAGCTGCACAGACAATGAAACTAATCCTCAGGGACCCATTAGACACAGGGAAAGGGACTGTGGAGCAAACATATATCTCACCGTGCTCCTCTGAGCTGCCTGTTGGCATCTGCAAATGGGAATGTGCTGGCTTTGGGAGGAACAGGGGAGAAGAGTTTGACCACATGTACAAATAGCAAAGAGTTCTGCCCTGGACGTGCTCCTCTGCAAGCTTTGAGGGTGTCATAGAATCAGACAGGTTTGGGTTGGAAGGGGCCTTAAAGCTCATCCAGCTCCAACCCCCTGCCACGGGCAGGGACACCTTCCACTAGACCTCGTCATCCTAAGCCCTAGGGTTTGAACGGGTGAAGGTTGAGCCATCCCTATGGAAAGGCTGGCTACAGAAAGTCTTTGCTGCTGCTCAGAAGGACTTGGATCACTTTGGAGATTGGTTGTCCTAGAAGATGGATTTGGGGAGTTGCCAGGTTGGGTTTGGGTTCCCCATGTTGGGAAGGCAGAGGGAGCACGGTTGGTTTTCAAGGGCAAGTGGATGTTCACCGTGTCCAAAGCTGCCCCAGGAGGGCCTTGGAGCCTGCTGGAAAGTCAGGATAGGCTCATGTATAGTCCACTCCTGGAGTGGCCTCCTGAGAAATGAGGTTCCCCATGTCAAGTAAGTCAGGAGATGCCACATGTGGAAGCCCACATACACCCTGCATGGCCTTCCTGGGTCCCATGATCTCTCCAGTAGCTGGCTGGGACCTTCTAGCCCCAACTCCCAGCCCCACAGTGTCTCCAATGACCATCCCACACCTCCAGCTTCTCCAACACCCTGCTGGGACCTGTGGTCTGACTCTTCTGGCACCCACACCCCAAAACATGGAGGAGAGAATCCCTCAACCAGGAAGACGGTGAGAAATGGAGCTTAATGAAGAAACTGAATCTAATTCATGAGATAAACTGGGCTGATGCGGGACAAACGCAGTGACCATCCATCTGCTTGGACAGAACCAGCCCATTGATCGCCTTATCCTTCTATTTTCACATGTTTGTTCCTCCCCAGACTCCCTTCATTGCTGTCTCCTTAAGGGGACACCTTAGAGCAGCTCCAGGGCCTAAAGGGGCTCCAGGAAACCTGGAGAGGGGCTTTGGACAAGGGATGGAGGGACAGGCCAAGGGGAATGGCTTGAACCTGCCAGAGGGGAGACTGAGATGAGCTCTGAGGCAGAAGCTCTTCCCTGTGAGGGTGCTGAGGCGCTGGCACAGGGTGCCCAGAGAAGCTGTGGCTGCCCCATCCCTGGCAGTGTTCAAGGGCAGGTTGGACACAGGGGCTTGGAGCAACCTGCTCTAGTGGAAGGTGTCCCTGCCCATGGCAGGGGTTGGGGCTGGAGGAGCTTTAAGCTCCCTTCAGCCCAAATGAGTCTGGGATTCTACGATGAGCCCATGATGATGAGCAGAGCATCCCTGGGATGCTCTCTGCGTGCCCCAACCCTGCATTCCAATGCCAAGGATGCATCCTGAGTGAGTGCAACGTGATCAGACCCCATCAGGATGGGCATCCAGCTCCACTAGGATGGGGATCTCACCCCACCAGGATGCTCATAACACAGATCCTATGGAGAAAGGAGAGCCAGCACAGGAGGCTGAATCAAGAAGACACTTTAATCAGATTTATCAGACAGCTCTGGATCTCCAAATAAATAGATTTATCAAAACAGAATAAAACCAGAAACCAGAGATAAATACATGTACCAAAACAACCTGAAAATCCCCCAAAGCTATTTCCAGACAGGGGGAGGGAGATGCTGCTGCACCCCCTCCTCCCCACGCTGCAGAAATGGTCCTGTTCGCCCTTTGGGAGATGCCCCTCCTGTGAATACAGCCCAGTAGATATTATGTAGGATATAGATAAATATATAGCATAATAACATGCTTGGTAGCGACCTTAGTGCAGCATTCAGGGTCTCAGACCCTGTCAGCAGGTGGGTCCTCCCGAAAACTCCATCTTCAAGTGATCTGCAGAGAAGGGAAAAGAATCCTCCTGGCTGGAACAGAGGAGAAAAGACCCAGGATTTTTCCAGGAATACCCTTTTGGAGGGTATTTATCCAAGCAAACCCTTTGCAGGTCACAGGAGCTCCAAGGAAAGGGATAAGGATGGCTTTTCTTTCCTTCCAGGTCATCTTCATGCTGACAGTTGATACAAAGCATGGTCATGTTTGCTCCTAGCTCCTGCTGCTCTTCAGAAAGCCGGGTGCCAGGGATGTACCCCACCTCTTCACATCGCTCCAGGTCTCTCCACTGTGTCTCCCTCCTCTTCCCTCTGAACATCCAACCTTTTCATCTCAGGAGGTGATGGCCAACCTCTTGTGCTCTCCCACTGGAGAGAGGCACCTCCACGGCTGTGATTCCATGTGGTTCAGTTTGGTTCAGTTGCTGGAGGTTCTGTAGTTTACACGAGTGCATCCTTTACTGCTGTGCCAGTCTATTGAGTAATGAGGCTTTGTACTTCATATATAGGTGTATGTGTGTATGGGGTGTGTAGATAAATCAATAGCTAGGTTAAAGTTTGTTCTCATTACAAGTTCTTTCTCTCTTTCTCTGGGCTCTCTGTCATCCGCAGCTCTGATGTCTGGGCTCGGAAGATGTTCCAGTGACCTGGATGAATGGAGATGGGCACTGATGAACAACAACCCCTGGAGCAGTAAAACACAAGTTCACCCCATGCACAACACCTTCCGCACTGGAGGACCTCCAAGAACCATGTTGGGAGAGATCTACCCATTACAGTGGCCATGCCCAGAGCAACTCATCAGTGCTCCTATAATCCAGTCCTCGACTTTGCCATCTTGCAACTAAAATGGTGTTTGAGGTCAAGAGGGGCCATGTATACCTCCTGCAACACAATTAGCACTATCAATGGCATTTCCAACGCTTTTCTTGGAAGTCACTTGCCTCTTTGTGCAGGACTTTGCAACCACCTATGGTAGGGGAAGATCATAGAATCCCAGTCTGGTTTGGGATGAAGGGACCTTAAAGCTCCTCCAGCTCCAACCCCTGCCCCGGGCAGGGACACCTTCCGCTAGAGCAGGTTGCTCCAAGCCCCTGTGTCCAACCTGGCCTTGAACACTGCCAGGGATGGGGCAGCCACAGCTTCTCTGGGCACCCTGTGCCAGTGCCTCAGCACCCTCACAGGGAAGAGCTTCTGCCTTAGATCCAACCTGAACTTCCCCTGTTTAAGGAGAAGAACCCCTCCCCAGCCTCACTGGTGAGCTTCAGAGTCCCCACAAAGCGAATGCATTGGTGGGAGCTGGGAAACACCCCAAAAAACAGCACACAGCGTCCCAATCCCTCTCCTTGCTCTCCCCATACACCAACATCCCCATGTGTGCAGGAGGGGGCTGGAGATGCTTTCCCCCTTGGTTGTTGCTTCCCTCGTAATCCCAACAAGGATTATGCAGCCCTGATGTTGTCATTCCCAAGGGAGGGAATATTTTCTGGCTGAATTAATCTCCTGTTGTGAGGAAATCTCTGGGCAATGCTTTCCTAGGACTTGCAGCAATGGCAGAGGGATGGTTTCACAACAGGGTTATTTATCAGGGGAAACTGAGGCAAGAAGAAGGGGACATGTGCCAGAGGCCCCATCAAGGGTGCAAAGCCTGACCTGGAAGAAGGGACTTGAAAATCCCCCAGTGTTTGGCCAAGAGATGTTGTCTTGAATGGATGGGAGCTGAAAACAACCCTCCCGCCCTGGGGCACTGAGTGTGCTGGAATGCACTGGGCAGCAGCGCCATTCCCAGCTGACCCAATGACCTGTGGGTGCTGGACAAGATGGGAATGGCTCCGATCCGAACCTAACCCATTAAAGCTGATCCCAGCCCCGGCAAAGAGGCAGCCAGCAGGAAATAACATGGCACTTTGGCCCCGCACAGGCACTCTCGGCATGTGCACCGGCATTCC